GATTATATAATATAGCAGGATAGATTTTTTTTTTTACCCTGATCATGTATGTAAAAACGTTTCATGCCAGAAACGTACCGCTTTTAAAGAATTATCTGGGGTTGCATCTGTTTTCTTCTAAATTAAGGTCCTTAATACATTTGTGCATGCTCACGTAGCTTTTTATCTTGTATGCTGAATTATTTCTGAGCTTTGACTGCAGTGGGAAGTAGGGGGCAACCTTAGTTGAAGCCATTCACTAGTAATGAGCATGTCAAGTAGAGTCTACATCTGTTTGTTGCATAGTCTGGTGCTGGTGAGAAGATTTATGTAAATATATTGCCACACCATGTATCCTAATAGAAGCATAGCAGGTGTGTCACTTGGACTTAAGCATTAAAGATGGCTATAAAATTAGCTTCTATTTTTACCAGTTATACAGGAACTGTTTTACAGATACAGCTGCTCAAGTGTGCTTTTGGATGGCAATACAGTTTCATGTACTGGCCATATCGGGACAAAAAACGGCCGTGGAAAAAAAGCTGTGTAGCATTTGATAATGTCAGCATCTGTTATCCCTGTCAGTCACACAGTTGAAATGTTTGAGTTACAACTGTGTCAGCAGATGCCCAAAGTTCAGCGTGTGCTCAGTTAAAACTGAACAGCTGATCTGAGTGATGGATGTGACATTTTAGAGTGACTGGATATGTATTCTTAGAGATATGCTAACATGAACTAGCAGGAAGCAATGTCAACATATAATTTTAACTTTTGTATCACTCCGAACTGTCATTTTGTTTTGGAATAGCATTGCAATGTTACACAAAGAAGACAAGAAAGAACACAACATGATGAATTGTTACCAAAAACCTCTAAAAATAAATTTAAGGTGTTAAAAAGTTGGTCTCATTATATGGTGGAAGCCAAATTAATTGGTGGTGGGGACAGGAACTCTTCAGGAAAAGAAGTAAATGCTGAGCAATTAATCCTTCTGTAAAGCTATCGGTAATACCAAATTGCTTCTGTGAGCATGATCAAGTTCAGTAGCATCGCTCCATTTAGAAAAGCTACTACAATTTGATTTGTTTCCCCACTATAAGCCAGGTTTTAATTTAGATGTTAAGATACTGTAGTCTTCATGCCAAAATATCTGCTCATAAGGGAAATAGCTTTAAAACAAATATTAATATTTTACTTAAGAAAATGGTTCTGATAAGATGTTTCTTGTATATATGTTATTCTGTAGTTTCAGGTAATAAAAATAGCAGGCTATGTATAGTATTAGCTATTTGATAATTATGTGAGTATTTAAAAATAAGATTCTCCATCTAAAAATGGTGCATTGCCTTTTTTATTTTTCTTTTTTTTTTCTCCCAGACATTTTATAAAGCACAGGGGTACAGTTAGAATCTTTAATCTGGGCCAAATGTGCCTACTTATCATGGATGTATCCTATTTAATAACAGCTTTTAGAAGGCTGCTGTCATGAATAGGAATGGCTGGATCGATGAGCCAGGAGGTCTTTCCTCATATTTTTCCTTGTTCCTGAATTTGATGTTCAATGTCTCTACTTAGGGATGGTATGCGCTGGTATATTTTAATTAATACCACTTTTAGAACTTGAAACTGTTGCAGGACTATTTCTCATGTAGTTCTTACAATTTTCTGCATGCTACAAAGTAATATTTTCTTAAATTTGGATTTAAAATAAATTCAGCTTATTTGAAAATAGTATTTAAGATAACTTACCTTATAGGTTGTAGTTGTCATTAGTGTTTTCATTTAGGAATCTGTCAATAGCTTTAATTCGCTGACTAGCAACTGTGGCCTAGAAATCTCTGTATTGTCACTTTCTGTGCATAAACCTGACACTGCACTTTGTATCGAAGAGCTCAGTGAGCATAATAAGTGCTGATTTGGAGAAAATTCTAACTTAAGTCTCATATATTAAATTGCAGAAGTATCATACTCAATTGTTTTGGCTATCCTTTTCTCTAAATCACAGCCTTAATTTCCTAGCGGTTTCTACTTGTGTCTTAGTTGCAACCTGTAGATTAAATATTCTATGGTAGATGTAAATTTAAATACTACCATGTGAAGTCCCCGGGACTGGCTGTGATTAATAGAACAATGGCTTGTTTTTAATGAGATACGTTTTGATAATCAGGCTTTTAAGATTAGTTTAGGATCTATTAAGTGAGGAGTACTGATAATGATAAATTTTGCGGCTATGCTGCAATCTTAGTATGTGCGTTTCAAGAGTTCATTTCCAACTTTGTTTTGGATTCTTGTTTTACAACTAATGTTCTGCTTATCAGCTGTTAACAATTCTTCCTACACACTTTTATAGTCACTTAATTTAATGTTTTGTGGTTCGTTAGTAACAAGTATGAGTTATTTTGGCAATACCAGCTGACCCTTAGCAAGTTAATTTGTCACATGAATGTCATTCAAACAAGAGGGAAACCTGTTTCTTCCAACAGCTGTTTAGTTTCCTCTTACTGGTCGTTCCGTGCCTGCCAAAAATACATACTTCTTTACATTCCATAGCATTGTATGTTCATATGGGTACATAAAGAAGTATGTACTCTGAGCAGGTACACGTGGAGTTGCTCGAGTACCTGTCAGATGAACCTGAAAAGTATTTTGCTACTCTCCGTTGCTGTCATTAGGTAAAATTCAGGCTGACAGTTCTTTGGAAGAACAATGTTATGATTAACTGATGGTAGAAAATAAACTTATTATTCTAACTGAACTTTGCAATGCAATTTACCTGCACAGTGGCTTAAAGCCTGTTACAGTTCATTGTTCTGGGATGGCATGGACATTAGAAGTGCTTTTCCAGATTTTTGCAGCCTCTTGCTGTTCGTTCTGAGTGACCACGTTTGAGTGGAGAGTTGAATCGCTGGTAGCTTTGCAATGTGTTTTCTTGGGATTCGTAGTTGTAATCCACTGTAAAAACTTCAGCTTCCTCCCAGGTCTTCTAGCAGATTTCCATGTTGGTGTACAGTTTGCACCTAGTGTCCTGAAGGGAAGTATAGACTTGTCTGGTATGGCAGTTATAAACTTATTTTCATACCCTCCCCAATCCCACTTCCATGCTTTTTGCATCCCATCTGCTATCTGCAAACTCTTTGCAGGTTTATACTTATTTCCACTGTAGTTCAGAGGGGTTTAAAAAAAAACAAACAAACCAACAAAAACCAGCACATGCCACCGGTGATCCTGCTTATTGTAAAGATAATGACATTGAAGTAAGAAAATAACCTCTAACTGCTGTGACAGGATTTGGATTGTTAGGCCGAAGGTCACATGTGAAAGCTAATACCTTTTCAACACTTCTGCAAGCAGCTTTTCTCATTTTTTTTAAAATTGACACTCACCTGCTTCAGTCAAAATCTTGTCCACACTTGAAATATTTATAACTAAAAAAACCCCCAAAAAACCGCAAACCCAAAACCTCAAAGAAACAAACCCCAAGTTTAACCCTGTTTCGTCAGACTCTGTGCGCCTTGGTTTGGAATGGTACTTAAATATTTTATCTACAGTACGGGTTTGACTTCTAAGGCGCTGTCAGAGCTTATGGTTGCTTAATTTGCATTTCAGGAGTTGACTGGGGTTACAGTAAAGAGTAAGCTTTGTCTTTACAGCGTTAGAAGGTAAATTTGAAATCAGCTTAACAATTAGTAAATGTAATAGTTGTAAGGAAAGCTGAGAGCAGAGGAAGTAAGAATTTCTGCAGCTCATGACAAAAACCTAGTGCAGCTGATAGAGAGCAAATCAGAGTGTGGCAGTAGCTAGCACAGTACTACAAGGAGAAACAGCAATGCAGCATTAGAATCAGCAGTCACATTCTAGTTTTTAAGTAGGTTGTTTTCATGTACGTCTGAGATAAAGCACCTTGAAAATTTTGCTTAGACCTACTTGAGAACTCAGCATTGCACTACCACACTATTAGATTTTCTTTTTAAAGTTGGTAATTTTTTTTAGTTGTGTATAGGAAGATAAGAATATTTCACTGAAATGAACAATCAGTTAGTGGCATTGCAATTTTTGAGTTTATCTTCTTTAAAAAGAATTCTGCCTACCAAGCAAGTTGGGGTTTTTTTGCTATGAAATTTGGACTAATGTTTTCTTTCAACCTGCTCTTTACACTACAAATGCTTGGTACTTTAACACACTCAAAATTAAGCTGTTCCCAGAGTAGAGGGATTAATATAACAATAAAAAAACATTCTAGTAAATAAGTTATACATGCAGAAAGTCATAGGCATCCTTTAAACGTGCAGAATAATGCAGGTCTCCTGATGTTCTATTACCTGTAAGCTTAGTATCATGCAGCATTTGCAGTTGGAAGAGAGGTAATGACCTAGAGACACATCAGCAGCAGCCATCTCATCCTGAGTGCTCTCTCACTCTATTCGCTGAATCAGCTCTTCGTTACATGGGAGGGGGAGGCAAGGGGGGGCGAATGTCGGTGCATACAGTACCTCACCACCTTAAATAGATAAAACTTAAAAGGAAAAAAAAAAAGCATAAAGACCGGTGCCTAATTGGCACCTGCTGCCTTTCTTGGAATGCTAAAATATGGATGATGTTGTATAGAAATTATACCTTAGGTCTGCTGGACTGAGAGTTAAGACTCCAAGGATAGATGCTAGGAAGCCAAGGGAAGGTGAACTTAGCCCACTGTCAGATGAAAATAATCACAGGCAAAAAGACAAAAAAAGAAAAACCCTAACAAAAAACCAAACCGAGCCCCCAAAAGTTGGAGTCGCTTCCAAAAAAAAAAAAAAGCACCAAAAAAAGCCATCGTCTCCCCCCTCCCCCGGCAAATATTGGTTTCTTCTAGTTCCTTAGATATTGCACTGCATCTTTTCTTGCTTGAGGTTATGTTTCCAGGCTTAACTGTAGGCAGGTCTGTGTTGAAGCTACTTTCCATCTTCAGAGGTCAAGTCTGCTAGCGAGGTCAGGGCTCCCGCACGCACACTACAGAAGACACTAACCGTATTTCCCACTCAGAGGGCACGAGCAAAACTGTTACGGCTTTATAGGCAGCTAAGCATTTGAAACATGCATTCCCAGGCAAACAGGCTCTCTTGTGCTTCTCTCTTCCCTGACCATATTTAGTCAACCATTGCAAAAAATAGTCTCTCAGCTGTCGATTGTCGATCCGGCAGCGGAGGGAGCCTCTATCCGGCTCTCTGCCTATTGATTGTGCAGCCTGCACTTCAACCTCCGCTGAGCCATTTGTCCCCAGGTTTTTTTAGCACTGCCAAATAAAGCACTCTCTCGTGTTTCCAGTTAGATTTCCCAGGTTTTCACTGAGCTTGCGCTGCTACTAGTAAACCCTGATGAGGTTGTCACTATACTTAGAAACGCTGGGGGGGGGGGGGGGGGGGGAGAAGGCAGCCCTGCTCGTAGCAAGGCAAGGGCTTCACGCAGATACGGAACAACAAATATCCTGCGCTGCCATGGCAGGTTGTGTAACCTGGTTTCTTGATCAGTGAAAAATGCCATGAGTAACAACACGCCCTTTAACCCGAGGTCTAAGCGGCCTTGTGTACACCTAGTTTTAAGTTTTCAACTGCAAATCATACTGTTATGTTATAAATAAGAACTTGGTGCCGATTTGTGGCCCCACATTTCCGTATTCAAATCGTTAGAAATTATTTGAAAAACAGACACTTTAGTTAGTAAATTCATATCATTCCATACTATTATGTTTAATAATTCCATAGTATTTTGTTCATACTGCTTAGCTATAAAATTACTTTAAAAAAATAAATGCACGTGTAAATTAAGTGCTGCTGTTCTTTGAAAAAACTCAAATGTTCTAGAAGAAAAGAATGAAAAAAGAAATCAAGTGAACAGCGCAGTCCATTGATCTGACTTTCATGTGTACAAAATTGGCCTATAACAAGACCAATAACTACACATTCAAAATATGAAAAGGGGGATTTTTGTATTCATAGGGAGTATATGCAATGTTTTCTTTGGAAAAGAATAAATAACTGAAATTTAGCCCTTTAAATACAACAGTCAGGGACCCAAATACTTCAAGGCTTGCTCTGTATTTTTCAGGCAAAATTCTTTATGTTGCTCAGGAGCAAGAAGAGTGAAAAAGCTGAAAATCTCTCAATCTAAATGTTGTTAAATGAAAACGTGATCTCAGTGAAATTGATGTAATTAGTAGTTACTCATATATTAAAGATCAGTACCGTACAGGGTAGAGAGTGAATTGCAAAGTCCTGAACGGACCACTACCTTGGATTTATACTTTCCTTGCTTCTTGTTTTTGTGTTGACTTTGTCCTGTGCTTGGTAGCTGCTCACCCTGTAACTTCTGTTGCAGTGTAGCTTTCTGGTAAAAGTCACATTTTCTCATTTCTCTTCGATTTCATAATCATACACTGAAGACAAAATTGTTATGTAAGATATAGGCTAATAGAGAATATGTTTTTGTGAATTCCATGTAAATTTATATACCTCACTGTTTCTTTAGTTTCATGTATATTGAAATCAATTTTTCAAATACCAAGAGATACTTGAAAATACTGAGAGAAGAAAAAGAAGGAAACAGCCTGCTTGCTTAAACTTATGTTAACTGAGCCATCAGTCAAATATGAAATATTAAACTCTAATGTCATGATACAGAGTGCTCAGTAATACCAGTCTAAGGTGTTAATCTGTTCTTTGTTACTTGTTCCTGAGGGATACTTCCTTTTTCGTTCTTCCAGCGTAACTCCCTGTGCTGCACAGCGAGGAGTGTGGTGTGGTGTGAACCAGATCAGGGAACTGATTTGGCTTGAAGTTGTGTGCTGATGTGCACTTATATTGTTGCCAAAAATAGCACTGTCCTGCTCCTGTGTTACTTCTTGCACTATGTTGGTACAGATATTTCTTTGGCTTCACAGTGAGCAGGCTCAGAGTACTCTTCTGTATAAGAAATAATCCAAGAAAAAGGGGTGACTTTTTAGATGCTGTGTTAAGACCACTTTTTTTTTTTGTTTCTTGAGCAGAGGTGGACAAGAATGGGATTAATAAAAAGTAATCTTGCTTCTAGTTGTGTTTTAAAATGCATGTCATATTATGCAGCCTTACAAGAAAGCTTTGCAATGGAAACTGTCTTTCAGATCTGCTCCTCCAACTGTTTAAGGATATAACAGGAAACAGATGAACAGGCTTAGCTGAGCCAGGGGTTGGAATAAGTGGAAAAGAAGGGGTGTGTGTGTGGGGGGGAATACTTCAAGCCCGGATTGCTGTAAAATATATTGTGAAAACATGTCACACTGGACAGTGGAAAGCTGACCTGAGGGAGGAGAATGGCAGGGAAGTAGAGAAACTTGTAGTAGAAAGTGCACTGAATCATTACAACCCCTAGAGATATGATTCCTGATAAGTCTATGCTGATCTAAGACTGTGCTTCTGGAAAGGGTAGTCTGCCCTCCCTGCAACTCTAGCTTCATAACTTCCTTATTCCTATCACTTCTAGTGATCATGAAGTTGCAGGGTAAGTTGGGTTATCTCATTGATCTGTCTGAAAGCAAACTTGCCAAATCGAGAGTCTGGCAGGTTGCTTCACTCACTAGACAGTGACGTGTCTGTAGAGCCAACATAACGCAGGAATTGAAGCGCAGGGAAGAGTGGGATTGTCTCTTTCAGTAGCAATTTAAGTTAAATGTGCTTATGCTGATTGTGAAGTAGCCTCTCTATTTTTTTATGCCAAAATATCTGTTCTTTAAAAAAACAAACAAACCCCCAAAGGCCAAACAAACAAAACCGCCCCACCACCATCCCACAAACCCCCAGCCTTCCCCGTTTAAATCATTCTGCAGTCAAAGTGCAGTTGGTAGCAGAGAATCTTCTCTAGTTTTTCTTTATATATTTTTTAAGCAAGGTGGAAGGATGCCTTTGCAGTTAAGAATGCTAAATCTGGAATCTTTTTTATACAACGAGGCGCTAGTTTCATCTTCCTTACAAGTACTTTGATCTTGTAGGTTTTTCAAATAAATCCATTATTGTATGCGTCGTTCTCAGGTAATGCTGATGAGCATCTGTAAAAATTCTATGAGTAAAATACTGCATAAGGAAAGAGATTTTATAGGTAGGTTGATAATGAATAATGTACCATATGTTAAAAATTTTGGTCATAACAATGTTTTTTTTTTCACCACCATCCCACAAACCCCCAGCCTTCCCCGTTTAAATCATTCTGCAGTCAAAGTGCAGTTGGTAGCAGAGAATCTTCTCTAGTTTTTCTTTATATATTTTTTAAGCAAGGTGGAAGGATGCCTTTGCAGTTAAGAATGCTAAATCTGGAATCTTTTTTATACAACGAGGCGCTAGTTTCATCTTCCTTACAAGTACTTTGATCTTGTAGGTTTTTCAAATAAATCCATTATTGTATGCGTCGTTCTCAGGTAATGCTGATGAGCATCTGTAAAAATTCTATGAGTAAAATACTGCATAAGGAAAGAGATTTTATAGGTAGGTTGATAATGAATAATGTACCATATGTTAAAAATTTTGGTCATAACAATGATTTTTTTTTTTTGGTATGTCTAATGTTGGTAACTGGTGTTGAAACAACTGCTGTATGTGGCTAAAAATGAATTAGTGTGTTGTTCAGATCTGTGATGCATTTTATGTTGCAAATATAAAATTCATGCTGTTGAATTTGCATTCTGCTATTATTTATAATTTAAATACATCATTCATATATGTTGAGCCATGGTTCCAGACTCTCTAAAAACCTGAATTAAAAAAAACCAACAAAACCTTGTGTGGCAAGGTCAAATTGAAGGTGCACTCAGCAGCAGCATTTGCTGTTGCACTTCTATGTCTCAAATTAAACGTAACACAGTATAAACGGGTGTTTCTTCTACCAAATCACTTCTAACTAGAGCCTGGACTGTCATTTTATGGGGATGAATTATGTGAATTATGGTGGGCTTTATAAGTCACTGTACCCCCAACAGCTGGGCCTGGGAAGGCAACAGATACCTTGATCTCAGCCCCCTATACACGCGTGCTTTCTCATTACCTTTTCCACTGAGCAGGTGTTTAGCTCCCGTGAAAGAAGAACTAGTTTCCTCACCCCCTTCAAAGCTTTACAGACAACTTCCTCAAAAATTTTCACTGAAGTTTTCCTTTTGTTGTCCTATCTAGAAAATTTCAGAACTTGCAGAAGATCATCCAACTGAAAAAGGCACAAAATCTTTACCTGCTTCCTGCTAATCTGAAAATACTGCAGACCAACAAATGCCAAAGCTTACCTGTTACAAAATTTTTTTCATTAGTAATGCTTCAATAATAATCTTTAAACAGCATAGTGATGATGTAATTTCAGTGTTTCAATAAGAGTTTTAAGCATCTTATCAATAATCTTTGCAGCTACTCAATTAGCCATGTAATCTGTAACAGTTGAATACACTGAAGACAATAGTCTGAAGAGTTTTCTTCAGTTGATTTCATGGTCAGGGTTACTGTTAGATTGGCTGATTTATTGATCTTTTCGATACAATTACAGTGAAAGTAGTCTGTGGTCTGTTTTAATGTATACAAGATGAAAGCAAGTTTTCAAGACCACATCTGTCTTGTGGTCCTGAAAACGGAGCAGTACAACTTGGCTTCTTTAATACTTTGTGTGGAAAATTGAATCAAGAATTACTGTGTAATTGGCATGCAACATTAATTCAGTAATACGACTTTTTATGATACAATGCATGCCTGTTCCAGTGAGTACTGTTCTGAATGGTAGCCACTTAGTTGTCAAAATTTTGGCAGCAGCTCTAGAAAATCCTGCAAAATAGAATAGCTGTAGGAAGGAAGGCTGCAGTGTGAAGGAACAGGATCTTGTGCATTGAAAGAAACTACCTCTCAGCTAATGAGGAGGAGGATGCAGCCACTGAGCATCATAAAAGAATTTGCCATTTGTAGGATATTAATATCTTGCAGAATTTTAAGGGGTCATGTCCATAAAACTGTCCTTCCATCCTGCTGTCCAGTAATTTAGCACAGTCTGGAAGAGAGAGAGATATGGTCTCTAACGTGCATAGGCAGAAGC